TTTGAAATATTTACGCTTTTTGGTTTGAAAATGGTTTGTTTGAATGAAGATTGGAGAGATGAGAAGAGAATTATTTTTAAGATTTTTGTGTTTGAAGAGACTTATCACCTCATACCTACGTATCCACAAAGTGCAATATAGGATCAAAACCTCGTAGTTCGTGGTACAAATAACAAAAATTTGTTGGTTTTGATTGATTTTAAATGTAAAGACAAGTCATCATTTTAAGGAGAAAACTATGACTAGTTACCCACAAGTATAAGACAATATTTACATCACTTAAAGATGGAGGATTTTGCTTGGATTATCAACAAGTCTATCACTCAACATCTAAGTGGAAAATGTCAACATCTTAATACTATGGAGAATATGAGAATTATATCTCAACTATGGAAATGACTCATGTCTAAACTATATGAAAAGTTTTAAAATGAAAAGTGCACAAAGGCACAAAAAGTTTGAATGAGGTAAACTGTTTTTTATATCTTTTTGAAATTGGTCAATATATGATTATCATTGATTGACATTTATTAAGAAAAACAAAGTTTAAAAATCACTTGACAAAATTAAAGGTTTTATTATGAAAGCAGTTTTAAGTTTGAAAACAAGAAGGTTTTAAAATAGGGAGGAGATTTTGAAAATTTAAGAAGGGGGGGGGGGAGATGAAGTGACTACCCTAGAAAGCAAAAATAAAAACTAGAGATAAAAATGATCTAACCAACTTGTAGCATACTCCATAGCAAGCCAAATAAGAATTTCATCCATCTTGAAGCATAAGCCAATAAGCAAGCCAAATAAAGGCAAAGATCCATAATACTCCAAGCATAGGAAAAAAGTCTTAATTCTAAGTCCAAGGGTCCAAGAATAGTCCAAGAAGTTCAAGGTCTAAGATTAGTCCAAGAGCATAACCACAAAGTTAAGAGCACCAAGTTTTTTAGAGGTTTACTCATTTATTAGTGTTTTAAACAAGATGTGGTCCAAATGGACAAAAGAAAAGAGGTGGAAACATAAACATGTGTCCAACGGAAAAAGGGAAAATAACAAAATCATAAACAAAAATATGATATAAGATGATAATAATGGAGCATAAAGATAAAAGAGAGATAGGGAGCAAGAAGGAAATATAAAGAAAATTAGTATAATGATATCGTTAGTGAGTTAGTGATTAGTCATTATAGTAAATGATCAACGATGGTTAACTCGTGCACTTAAGCCAAAGTTGACGAAGACTCATTCGAGGATTGATAAAATCAAAGCCTCCTAATAACAAGCTTCATAGGTGATGAACCTGAGACAAATAATCAATAATACTTGGACTTTCAAACATAGGTTTGAGCCACGAATGATCACTTTTCGATTACGGGACAATTTAGCGTTATGTTAAGCAATCATAATCAGGTTTATATAGAAACCACAACTATCTGAGGACGGTCAATAACAATGTTAGTGTTAATGCATGCTAGAGAAGTGATATGTAGATCACTCTCCGAAAGCAATGCCGCATGAAAAGAAAATAGGTAACGATCTCATCTTCATCAAGAACTTGAAATAAGTTCAAACGATATCGAAGATTTTCATCGATCAAAAGAAAAAGAGAAGAGGAGAGGGAATGCCAAATTGAATTACAAGTTCAAGATCATTCCATCTTTAAGTTCATCCACTCATCTTGGTGGATTAAAGCACTAAACATATCATTAACTCAAAGCACCTAAAATGAATTAAACAATTCACTTTAAAGATAGATTTGAATTAATGAATGTTTATCCAACTTCATCTACACCCTAAGTCCAATGAATTTAAAGAGGAAAAGGACCTTTAAAAGTGAATTCCAAGGGAAAAATCAAAAGGGAATGGAAGAAGAAGAAGAAAGAATCAAAACAGTCCCAAAACAGAGCCAAAAGGCAAAATTAACACTGGGTAACCGGTTACCCAAATCTGATAACCGATTACCATTGCAAAAACAACAACAAATCAGCTTAAAAAAGTGCAGAAACTTGATCAATCATTTCTCCAAACACCTTATGATCAAGGATGCAATTGAGCACGAAATTCAAGTAAAATAACAGCAAGCAACACCAATAAAACACAATTTTCAAGATCTAAAGATTAAGCAACAAGAATCAATAATAGATCACATTATAGAAGATGTATCAAGAACAACAATGGTGGATCAAGAAATTATCACTCCAAATCTGAAAATTCTTCAAATCAGCTCCACAAACCACACTTCAAAAGCCTTTATCTACTAGAATTGATGATGAAAAAATGAATGAATGAAGGTTTAGCTCAAAGATTAGTAAGTTCTAATGATGAACTTACTGACTTTCAATGTAAGAAAGAGCTTTGGTGAATTTGGTAGTTGGGAAAAATTGAGAGTCAATAAGGAGTTTGACAAGATGATTTTGGCTATCAAAAGCTTATCAAATGAGAGAAATGAGGCATCTATTTATAGGATTTAGGCTTGGAAAATTTGGTGGATTGAAATTTGGTTTGGAATCAAAATTATGCTTGAAATTTGAATTTGGAGTGAAATTAATGAATAAGTTGTGATTAGTGAAGGTGTATGGTGGGAATTAATTATGATGAGGTAGGGGAATTAAAATGAAGTGATGTAGAATATTCTCATGTTGCAATATTTGAATTTGGTGCCAAAAATGCTGTAGAATTTGAATTTGCCCAGTTTTCACAAATTCGCACAGGGTAATCGGTTACCCAATATTGGTTACCGATTACCACAAACAAAAATGATGAGAAATGACCTTTATGATGTGCTGTCTTGGCTCTGGCTCGATTCTTTTCCTTGTCAAAGAAGACATGGAAATAAACACATGAACCTTGGAGTCTCTTGAATAAAAGTCCATCAAATCTTGGGAGACTCTTGATCAGATGATTTGAACTGTTTGTGGATCAACTTCGACTTTTTCCAGATGAAATTCACTCGAGCTTAGGGACTGATATTTGATATCTTTGATCCATTCTTCCTGAAAAAGTTAGTAAAGGAAAAACAAACATTTTTTTGGATTTTAATCAATGGTCAGTAAACATAAACATAAACAAATATCAAACAAACAAGAAAACAAAGGGTGCCCGGTGATCGCTCTAGAATAAACCTACAAAGGAAAGCAAAAGAGAATCAAAGCTTGCGATCTTGTTTGTGGGATGAGATGCAAATGATATGTGGGATCTTAGGGGTAAAAATTAGGGTATTACAATACCTTTGATCTATCAACAAATTTTCACAACAAACTTAAAAATGTAGAGACCGTTGAACGACATTCTTTCCCTCACACTGATCCCTGTGGAGACGATATAAATCTCAGGGAAAATCTTTTCAAAACTAAATTTTTGCTTCTTGCTGCTTTACTGCAGTCCAAACAGAATACTATTACAATCTCTCATAATCAATTCAATGGTTGGCTGCATCTCATGCACATTTAGTTATCATATATCTCCTCTATTTAAAGAGGAAAATGCGCCACCCTTTAGATATTCAAATAATTTCCATTAAAATTCCACCTTTGATTCTCTTACTAATTTGAACATTGGAGTGCTAACCTTGCGGTTCAACCTCCTACCCACCACATCAAAAACCTAGAACTGCTACAACTAATCACAAATTCATTGTCTCCTATCATCAAACAGGGTAGAACATGATCCACAAATCATATTATTGACATGTCAGTTATTTGTAATTAAAAAGAACAGAAGTTCTGGTTAACAAGAAAAAAAATAGGGAAGATACTTAAGTAGTTTCACATGGAAAAATCTGAAGTAGTTTCACATGGAAAAAGCTAATATAGTTGCTACTCCACTTGCTACTCACTTTACTCTTAGTTCAAATAGAGTCCTTCATATGAAATTGAAAAGAAGGAATTGCACAAGTGTCATATGCATCATCTCTTAGAAGCTTATTGTATGCAATGTTATGAACATGAACAAGTATAATACACAAAGTTGGCGTTGTTAGATTTTGTTTTTGGCTAAATCAGGAAAGAAGCATTGGACTATTGAGAAATGAATCTTAAGATATCTTAGAAGAACTTCTAAAATGAGTCAATGTTTTGGAAGTAGAAGATTAGAACTGAACGGTTATACAAATGTAGATATGGCAGGAAATATTGCTTCAAGAAAATCAACGTCTGGATTCCTTATTACATTTTCAAGGAAAATTTAATCGAGTTGAAGTTACAAAAGTGTGTTGTCTTGTCTCTAACCGAGGCACAATTCTCCACAATAACAAAATTTTGTAAAGTGTTATAATTGAAATGATTCTTGTATGAATTAGAGATTTGAATTTTCACTTGAGAATGAGTTTGAGTTTTCACTCAAATTTAAAGCACATCGATGCGAGATATCACTGAATATCTGATATATTAGAACCTAAACAATCACAACTTAAAATAATTCATACATTCAACAATTGTTGAGATATAATGACTAAATCTTTTTCCAATGGCAAGTACGAGCTCTCATGGGAGAGCTGCTTAATTACTGGAGTTCCTCATTAGTAGGAGAGGAAATGAAAGATAAATAAACAATAAAATAGTAAATATGAAACTAAAGTAAGCACAAAAGTTTTCTAGGACATAGATGGAAAGTATAGAAGAAAACCTCTCTTGAATTATAGCACCTCTTTACTATATTTTATTGGCTATAAAATGTATACTCTCTCCTTCATGCTTCATTTATAATATCATGGTAAGAATCAAGAAATCAGTTTGTGAAAAGTATAATCTTAGGATAATCAATTTTCCGGTAGCCTTGTATTATGCATATTTAAATGATATTTTTTTCTACAAGAGACTACAATTTCAAAATTATAACTTTTTTTATGAAGAGCTTTAAAATGCAATTGAGAAATAACAGCATTCATATGTCTGTATTTTTTCAACTGTCCATATATCAGAATGTACAACACAAGTAGAATTTCTCAGGAGTACAGACACATTATTTTCTTCATATTTACACTAAATTTTATAGTTCTACTTGTTGAGGCTTATTCACCACGTTGCACTTATAGGCCTTCTTATTCCTCTTAATTTTTCTGTTCCCTTTTGAACCTTTGTTGAATTCTTCCTCTGTAAAAGCTGCAGCAATACATAATAAACACTCATTCACAATGATGTTAGTAATAGTGTAATACTAATAGAAATAAAGACCTATTATATTTGAAACATTTAATCTATGTAGCACCGTCACTTCAAATTGAAAGCGTGTCTGATGGTTTCTGACATGTACATAACACCGATAATTAGTATTGACGTGTCAGTGTCATATAGTATCTGGTGTCCGTGTCTCTCTTTTTCATAGCACTAAATCACTTACCTCTTGTTTCCTCTTGTTCTCTGCTTCAGCCTATTTCAAATTTAAGAAAATAGATATATATGTTAAGTATCAGAAAATATAATTCATGAAACAGGTAAGAAAAAAGAGTATAAATATTCAATTTCAGTATTGTTTAATTACCAGAATTTGTTTTAGTTTTTCATTCTCTTCTTTTAGCAGATTCAGTTCTGCCTCTAGCTCCACAGTATATGCCTGCATTACAAAAATTTTCATTAGGTAAAGGACCACTAATTGAAACAAAGAGTAGAGACTGATGAATACAAAACCTGTCTTCTTGCTCGAGAACGAGCAGCAGATTCTCGATTTTTCAACATTCTACGTTGCCTTCGCTCCACTACAACTTCGGGAGGGCCATCGATTATCCTCTTGCTAGTATTGCATCCACTTGGTTCAGGCAAGTTTTGACATTTCCCGATTGCTCGGTCCTGCAATACTGAGTTGTTATTCTGTGACAGCATTTGGTATGTTACAAGACCATTTCTAGAAAATCCCATTCCAATAGAAGGCCTCAAACCATAACTTGCAACATTCAATGGTCTCATATTACTTGAAACAACATTGCCACTATGATTCTGAAAAGACAAGGATGATGATTGCTGTTGTACTACACCAGCTTTCACAAAGAAATCCTCCAAAGTCATTTCTCCAAGTGTTTGTTGCTTCTTGAGTGTCTCGTTTCGCTTAAGGTTAGTTTCTTTTTGGAGTTGTGGTTGGTTTTTATGAATCTCAGACCAAACTTCATCCACAGTTTTCTTGCAAATTGGAGGAGGGACAGAAAATGAGTTACCATGTTGGGAAATGTTTTGTTCTTCTTCTGTTGCAACAGTTTTTGTATTCTTCTGAGATTGAGTAGCTTCGTCGCTGGAACTCCAAATGCTGGCTAGGAATTCTTCCATGTTGAGGGAACCAAAGCTCTTTCCACTCTTGCATTGGAACTCATCAAGTGTAAGTGAGAGTATTGAGTTTTGTTTGCTTAGTTCAGAAAATGGAGTTTCTTCTTGGTCTTCTTGCAATGAAACCTCTTGATCTATTTGTTGTAGATCCATGGATGCTTATGAAGATTCTAATTCATGAAAGAAAATATTAATTAAGAAAATAAATATAAAAATATCGCGAAAAAATACTGCACTCAACTTTAAGTCGAAGATCAAAGATCACATCGATATCGTTATTCAAATAATTGATCAAAAAACAAAGATGATGTAAATGGATGCAATTGCATAAATTTGCATGCAACATGCAAACATGCATATGAATGTGATTTATCTGAACTTCAAGAGATCAAGCAAAAATCAATATAAAAACAAAAGGAAATATAGATGAGTACCTGAATATGCAAACATGAATTTAGAGGATGGGAATTGTGATTTGGAAAGATATATATGAGAGAAAAGGAATAAGATAAGACCTACACTAGATGAAAGAGAAAGGAGGGGACATTCAGTGCATAGAGACATAAACATTAATTGCTAGTTACCATATTGAATCAACTTATTGTTGTGATTGAGAAAGTGGTGCCCTTTTTATGGATGAGTTATGAATATTTGTTGACACGTTTTGTTGTGCATGGCATTGCCAAGAGTAGTCTATACTCCACTCTTCAAGTTAAGTTAATTAACCATTGTAACCGTGAGGTTGGTTGGACAATTGTTATGGTTTGCTTTGACTCCAATTTTACCAATTAACCATATCAATATGAATAAGATTGCAATAAAACTATGTTTTTTTTTACAAATGTATTCACCCAAATTATATCATATAGATACTTCATAAAATATTTTAAGAACTAACTCAAGAAAGTGACATTAAAATGTGATTTGATATATATGTAAAAGGTTTAAATAAAGAAGGATTATTTTAGAGTTATTGTTTAATAATTAATTATAAATATTAAATTCTACAAATTTAACTGCTAAATCATAAAAAATTATCAAATAAATAATTTATGAATATTTAATACTTCAATTAACATTTTTGATTGAACAAATAATAAAATTTTAAAAAACACAAGCAAACATCTACAATTCAATTATTCATTTGGTGGTGTGCTATACAATTCATCAAAGCAAATTAGAAAAACACAATATATCGTAAAAAAAACAATCCACATGAATGGTTTCGGAACATTTATTGTATTTTTAAAAAGTACAAAATGCGTAGCAACTCTTAACTAGTAAGAATTGTAAAGGGCTTTAGTATTTATGTGCGGTGAAAGAATGTTCACGAGGGTGAGAAGCTTTATATTGGAGATGTTATCTCTGAATATGAGATTGTCCACCCTCAACCCTAAAGTGGAGATATTAATAGAGGCATATATATGTCCCTGGATTCAGAGTTTCTTAAAAGTAGAAATCGCTAGTAAAATAGAAGTAGACTGTTGAATCCATATTTTCTAAGAAGACATGGGATATTCCAAAGACTCTTTCTTTGCTCCACATATGTCCAAGACACATTACTTCCCATGTTTCCTACTCTGTGCAAGTGGTACGTGTTGCGCCCGGTGCCATTGCCACATGAAAGATATCCTCCCCACATGGGCAATATGCCCTCGTCGCCCCTTATGTGCCCTAACATATATATCACTACACAGTCCCTCAAGCATCAGGGCTTGATAAAGGGGGTGATGTATTCAAACGAGCAAGTCTGATGATGTTCTTAGTCCCTCAAGTGAGGCAATTAAATGAGTCTGTCTAATGGGAATCTAAGTCCCTCAAGTGAGACATTTAGATAAGTCAGTCTAATGAGACTTTTAGTCCCTCAAGTGAGGCGTTTAGATGAGCCTGACTGATGAGACTCTTAGTCCATTAGACGAGGCATTTAGATGAGCATGTCTGATGAGACTGTTAAATCCTTGGGCGAGGTGTTTAGAAGAACTTCTCTGGTGAAACTTTTATCGAGTCCCTCACGTGAGGCACTTTGAATGAGTCTGCTTAATGAGACTCTTAATCAAATCCCTCAAGCAAGGAATTTAGGTGAGCTTGTCTCATGAAACTCTTGGTCCCTCGGGTATGCGTTTATATAAGTCTACTTGACGAGAATCTTAGTCGAGTCCCTCATGCGAGACACTTTAATAAGCCAGTCTGATGAGAATTTCAGTCTTTCAAGAAAGGAATTTAAATGAGCCTATTTGATGTGACACATAGTCGAGTCCCTCTGAAGAGGATCTTAGATGAGCCTGTCTGATGAGAATCTTTGTCCCTCAAGCAAGGTGTTTAGATAAGCATGTTTAATGATACTCATAACCCCTCAGGCGAGACATTTTGATGACATTGTATGATGAGACTCTTAGTTGAGTCCCTCAAACGAGGCACTTATATGAACTTGTCTGATGAGACAATTAGTTCCAATGGGAGGCTTATAGATGAGCCTACCTGACGAGACTCTTAGTCGGGTCCCTCAAGCAAGGCGTTTAGCTGAGTCTATCTGATAAAACTCTTAGTCCCTCAGGCGGCCGTTTAGATGAGCCTGCCTGATGAGACTCTTAGTCGATTCCCTCAAGCGAGGCACTTATATGAGTTTGTCTAATGAGACTCTTAATCCCTCAGGCGAGGCGTTCAGATGAGCTTATTCGATGAGAGTCTTTGTCGAGTCCCTCAAGTGAGGAACTTAGAAGATTATATGTGATGAGACTCTTAGTCCCTTAGGTGAAGAGTTTATATAGACATGTATGATGAAACTATTAGTCAAGTCCCTTAATCAAGGTGCTTATATGAGCATATTTGATGAGACTCTAAGTCCCCTAAACAAAGCGTTAGTTGCATTAGTCCGATGAGGTTCTTAGTATCTTAGGCGTGGTGTTTATATGAGCTTGTCTGTTGGTTCTCTTAGTTTATCAAGTGGTGAATTTAGGTAAGATTTTCGGATGAGACTCTTAAACGAGTCCCTGAGACAAGGCGTCTAGATGATCATGTATGATGAGACTCTTAGTCCCCAAAGCAAGGCCTTTAAATGAGCTTGTCTATTGAGACTTTGAGTCCCTTACTGAGACTTTTAGTCACTCAGGCAAGGCCTTTATATGAGTTGTCTGATGAGACTCTCAGTTGAGTCTCTCGGGGGACACACTTAGATAGGTCTCTCTGATGAGACTCTTAGTTACTCATGTGAGGCGTTTAGACGAGCATGTATGATTAGACTATTAGTCCCCTCGAGTTTGGCTTTTAAATAAGCTTATGTATTATGTCTTTTAATCCCTCAATCAAGGCATTTAGGTGAGCTTATCTAATTAGGATCTTCTTCGAGTCCCTTAGGTGAGGCATCTAGATGATCTTTTTTATGAGAATCTTAGCCCCTCCCCCCCCCCCCCCCAAGTGAGACATTTACATGAGCGTGTCTGTTGAGACTCTTAGTACTTTAGGCGAGACACTTAGATGAGTCTGTCTTATAAGATTCTTAATCTTTCTGGCGAGGCGTTTAGATGAGCTTGTTTGATGAGGCTCTTAGATGAGTTCCTCAGGAGTGGAACTTAGATAAGCATGCATGATGAGACTCTTAGTCACTCAAGATATGCGTTTAGATGAGCTTGTGTGATGAGACTCTTAATCAAGTCCCTCGCGCAAGGCTCTTAGATGAGCTTGTATAATAAAACTCTTAGTCCTTTAGGTGAGTCATTTAGATGAGCCTATCTGATGAAAATCTTAGTCCCTCAAGAGAGGTGTTTAAATGAGCCTGCCTGATGAGAATCTTAGCTCCTTATAAGAGGTTCTTAAATGAGCTTGTCTGATGATAATATTAGTCGAGCACCTTAGGCAATGAGCTTAGATGAACCTGTTTGATAGGACTTTTAGTCTCCTAAGCAAGGTGTTTAGATGAGCTTTTCTAAAGAGACTTGTAGTCTCTCAAGCGAGGCGTTTAGATCAATCGTTTTGTTGGGACTCTTAGTCCCTTAAGTGAGGTGTTTAGTTAAACCTATTTATAAATACACATACTCAAGTTCCTTAGGCAAGGCGTCTAGATGAACCAGTCTAATGAGACTTCTAGTCCTTAAAACAAGACGCTTAAATGAGTTTGCTTGATGATACTCTTAGTCTAGTCCCATAGGTGAAGCATTTAGCTTCACGTGTTTAATGAACTCTTAGTCCCTCAGGCAAAGAATTTAGATGATACAATCTCCTCATATATATCCCATTAGTATTAACGTTAACGGTGGGGAGGATCTTCCCATGGAAGCGCAACACTCTTGTATTCCCTTTAGAAGGCGACAAGGATCTTCCTAGGGAAGTCTAGCGTTCATGTTTTTCCTTAAGAGGCGGAAAGGATCTTCCTGTGGTACTTCAACATTCATGTATTTCTTTAAAATCCACAAGGATATTCCAGTGGGGTCCAATATTCGTGGAATGCCCTAGATATGGCAAGGATTTTCTTGTGGAAGTCTAACATTTGTGTATTTTCTTAAGGTCAGAAATGATATTCTTGTGGAAGTCTAGTGTTCATGTATTTCCTTAGAGGCGGCAAGGATATTCCTATGGAAGTCCAACATTCATGTATTGCCAAAGGGGAGGCAAGGATCTTCTTGTGTAAATCGAGTGTTTGTATGTTGCCTTAGAGGCGACAAGGATTTTCCTATGTAAGTCTAACATTTGTGTATCACCTTAGAGGTGGAAAGGATCTTCACGTGGAAGTGTAACATATTTGTTAATGAATCCAAAATATTCTTCTTGCTTATAGATATTCAAAAATTTATACATATGGGGGCAACACACACTCTCTAGCAATTTTCAAATAACATAACTATAATAATATTTTAAGCGGCCGGAGTTCTATGTTTGGGGAACAAGTCACTCGTCTAATTTCTCCAGCTTATATGCTCTATATGGTAGCTACTAGAATATGCGATAAGGTCCAATAGTATCTTGCCCTCAGTAGTTTATGGGTGAGGCTCGCCGCAAATATGGCCACAACATGCTCCTTTTTGAACATCAATAAGGACTAAGGAGGTTTCGTGCTCCCCTAGAAATCATAGAATAAAGGAGGCTTTTCCCATCTTATAGAAATTTTCCTACCAAGAGAGTGTATTTTTCCATATACTTCCGAACCTTCTTCACCTTCA